TTATCCCAAGACGTAATTCTTGCCGAGAATGTTGTGTAACAAAGAATCACATTGCCTGAAGAGAAGGCCATGACCTGAAAACAAACGTTCAAACAAATGGGCGTCTTTCGTTGACAGCTGACGATCAACAGTTATACCTGAGAACAGTTCACGGAAACAAACGTTATTCCATGCGGCCCACTTGTTCCGCGTCCAAAGTCCCAGTCACCTCAGCCTACCTGTTTATCCGATTAGCCATACTGGATGCCCTACTGCACTCGGCATGATGGGTTGCTTTCTATGCAAACAATAATGGTCCCACGGACCCGGCTGTCTACCGATTATCCGAACTTGCTGTTGGGTAAATACCGGAACAGACCTGGGAATACGTAATTACTGGGATATAGGGCATTGAGAACTGGTGACAATACAGATAAGGCTCACGCCTTAACCGTGACAAAGATCCTCACCTAAACGAAGCAGAGCTAATGGCGCCGCTTAACGTCGGGGCCGCGTGGCTGCTAACCAAACAGCTTCACATGCATTATCGTTGAGCTGGGCCGGACGTTGCTGCCGGCGATAATTTCAAAAGCGAAGCATGATGAATAGTGATGAGGGTCTGGCACCATAACTGGAAGACTGACACCCTAACTTCGTAATGGGTAAGTGGAGCATCGCTGTTTGCGGTTCCGTTTTAAAAATTAAAATTCATTGACGCACGACATGGTCAGATATGGCACATTAACATACTGAATGGAAACTGAATAACATATTGAATGGAAGGGCTACCAGTCACCCATTAGGTGGTATGGTCGATTTTTTCATCTGAATGGTTCCATGCAGTATGAAGCTTATTTTTCTACCAATGGTTGCGATGGCTAGCTGAGTTTGATGCCTTGAACCACGCTGTATTGGTGGTCAGAGCACCGCAAAAAATCGTCTGATGTCTGGATCCAGACACGGCAGCGTGCCCTCTAATTTTTGCTACGGGCAGCACGATTTTTCCATAGCTCAAACCCGCACAATCAGGCTTGTTAAGCCCTGAATTTTTCTTTGAGTCAGCATTTCTCGGGAATGAGAAAGGAGACACCACCACGTAATGAGTTGGAATGACAAGGCTGAAGCGCAAAGGCCTGTTCCTTGCCCAAATAAGCGAGCGGTGAAAGACCGGGTGGCTTGGTTGGCAGGCCAAACCATTGGCATTCAGCGCTGACAGGCTGAAAAGCCGAGATGTGTGCGGCGCGTGGACGATCAATGTGGGCTGGAGAGCGCCACGCTGCAGCGGCGCCTCGCGGCCGCCTCAGGAGCACCCGATCACAAAGATCAGAGGCGCAGAGGCGCCAGGAAATTGACCGCTGTGACGTGCCATCATGGGCGTATGGGAAACGGTAAGATTTCAGGAGCCGCGTCATTTAACACGCGCCCGGGTGGCCGGTTGGCGAGGCTAAAGCGCTTCGCTTCGGTGGGGGAGTCAATATGACCAGTCTGAGATCTCAGGAACTAAGAGAGCTAGAAATACCAAATTTATGCGCTGTGTTGGCCTATACGTAAACTCTCGTAGACCAAAGTTTCAGGTTCCTAGGTTATGACCTTCGGGTCAAATAAAATAAAACAGGGTCAAACTCCAAGTTGATCTCTAATGTGTCCCCAGAACCTAGATACCTGTTCTAAGGAAAAGGTCACATGATTTATGGTAAGTGATCTTCTCTGACCTTTCGAAGTTCGTGGTGACCAAAATTGTACAAGACGGCTTCAAGTTTTGCATTTGAATAAGTGACAAAGATAACGCTGGGTAGTATGCTCTCAAAAACGAAATGTTGACCTGAGTCATTTTAGGTCAGTGACCTATCCGACCTTTAAGAAGTCCAGTGAAGGATGTCTAATGCACTTGCTGTTATCAATCAATTCGAGATGAGCCCCAGAAAGTACCCTATAGGACAAGCCATAAGGTAATAAAACAGGTTGGTTTTGACCTTAGTATGACCCTCGTACCTGACATTTGGTCAATTCAGTTTGGTCATTCAATTGTTGTGTTGCCCAAGAAAGTATCTCAGAGGTGTATGGCTTCGTCTAACACTCCCGTTGTCGCATCAGACTGAACGATTCCCTAAAAACTGACTTCGCTGAATCCAAGGCGTGAATTTGACCTGCCGTAGGTCAGCAGCCTTATAATGCATATCTAATTTTTATAGCAAACGATCCGCTATTTGATGATCTACAGGTAGGCAACATTTTGCGTGAATACGTCGTGCCGTTCGGAAACTTTTCCTGAAAGACCCTCGGGGGTCAATTTAACCCCACCCGGCGCGTGTTAACACTCATCCAGATCAACGGGAGGTCAAACTGGAGCGATTTGGCTCGCGTTGGCAGTTTTATACACAAATGTCGGCTTGTTCTACCACATAGATCGGCCACATAGCTGTCTTAATGCACTGCTGTACCATCCGCATGGGATAATGGGCCGATATGTAAACAGAGAACACAGAGAACTTGCACGCGTCTGGCAAAGTTTGAGTGTCAGTCGCTTCTAGGCCTCGCACTGTGGGCGACTGGTGCGTTCCAGCGAAGATATCGCGCTTAGTAACGCGCATATGTTTATATGTGTCTCTTGACAAAACGACCTGTTCGTTTTATGTTCATGATGAGGCAAGGATATTAACATAGTCATTATTGCGTACATTCGACGTTCTAATGTGTTTTATTCCGTCGGAACTTCACTCATTTTGGAACTTACCAATCGCACACACTATAAAGATCAAAAGTTATTGGAACTGGAAGACTTGCACCCTCCAAACCCTAGCAAATATTTCTGGATTCTCATTCACAAGAAAACACATTACAAATAAAACATATCTGTCACCTAATGACTGCTAAACAGCCCCTGCAAGGTGATCAAATGTACCTGGAGAATTACGAGTGGGCGCGGTCTCGTAGTGCGTTATTCTAGATTTAGGCCTGTCTGCAACGTAACAAGAAAGTGGTAGGCCGCTTGAGCTGTTTGTTTCAGAGCTGGCTGTGACCACGGCCACGTTTCAATCGACGTGAAATCCCTGAAAGGAGCAAACTTTATGGGAATGTGTCCAAGTTATCAAATAACCGGGTCTCAGACTCCGGTTTGCCGGCGTTTTTTACCCACTTGATCTGGCAGCTCCACGCGAAGGACCTTCAATACGTCTACATAATTAGATTCACAAGTGGTCGGGATTCTGTGAAGCCAAAATCATACACGAACTCCGCGAATGAGCTGATGGCCGCTCGATTTTTGTCCGCTGGTTCTGGTTGCGAGCAAACCAGAATCGCAGCTGCAAACTTATTCCTCGGCATTATGAAAGTTGCTCGTCGAGCTGAGATCCGGGGAGCAATTTGTCGCCAACTTTCGACTGTTACCGCGCCCCGACTGACAGTGGTAAGTGGATCCGCTGGGCCCCGAGTTGGCCGGCCGAATGACGCGGCGCACGTCGCCGATCGGTGGCGGGCACGTGACCGCCGCTGCCCGGCCGAGTGGCCCCTATTTGCGGGGAGCCCTCGGCCGCGGCCGCGCCCACCAGGCGGCGCTCATCGGGCCCGTGGCGCTGAAACACGGGCGCCGACGCACTGGCACGCGGCCGGCACAGCTCCGCGGGGCTGTTAGTTGTGTCGCCGGACGGTGCCAAGCTCCAGTGGAGCCAGACTTGAGCCGCGATCCCGAGAAACGATTCAGGATTCCGAGTGATCCGTCGTCTAAATTACAACACAAATTTAGATGCGCAGGCACGAGACGCAAAATGCACTCGGATTCCAGACTTAAAAAGCTGATCGAATGTCATGGAAGATTGTGATGCAAAGTTTAGAAGCTCATCCTGGATCCGATGACATCGTGTTACAAATTTCGAAATTTTTCCCCGTACCTAGACTGTCTGAGGCTCAAAAATCAGAGATCAGATCCTAGGATTCTGTTAAGAAGTCCACAGTTTAGGTCCAAGTTTTCGGACTAAACACTGAAAACCCTCCCTGGAGGTGGAGACATAATCATCTCTGGAATAGGTTTGAGTCACACAGGACATTTTGGTAGGACTCGGGCGATTTCGAAATTTTAGGCCTGTTCAATGCAAAGTTGAACGCACCCAAGGGGCAACCGTATTGGTCAAGAAATTGGGTGGTAGATGGGGGGGGGGGGGGGCACCATCTATTAGAAAAGCATATCATTTACAAAAATGCTATGATTATTGCTTTTGTTCATTCCAACCGTTCTACGTTGAAGGAGAAGTTGAGTGATCATTTGTCTTCCTCCTCGCATGCTAACACGTTTACCTCAATACGGCTTTTTTCTTCAGTTTGGTTAAATTTGTGTGCACACGCCATTTTAAGAACATGCTCTCAATACATGACAAGGTGAGACATGTACGCAAAAGGAGCCTTTTAGAGCGCCTTACCTTGAAGTTTGTAGAACTTTATCTTAAACGCGGCCAACAAGTGATACCCGGTCTGACGGGTACGGGAGAGTGCTTTTGAACTCCTGTCACTTGGTCATGATAGCCTGCATTTGAGCTCATAAGATCATCTCATTGAAATAGAGTTGAGACGGGACGTAAGCGCCCTCTAACTCTTCCGCAATGCCGTGATGTCGCCAACGTGATGACTCCGCACTGTCCGCAGTCAATAACACGGGAGCCCTGATGCCTTTGTTCATCACTGGTGCCTCTTGATCCCCAACCGCGAGCCCAGCGAAATCTTTTTTGCTGACGGCACATGAAAGTGATTCCGACGACTTTGATGGCCCTGGAACATAAAGACACTTATCACAGCGAGTGAGTGGTCGCCGGAGGGCCCGTTCCGCTGGTCTGCTCGTGAAAACATGTCCCCATCCTTGCTTCCTGTGGCGCGATGGATGAGTTGTCTGCTCACAATCGGCCGGCGCATTCAGACGACTAACGCCATCCCCCTCTCGCTCACCAGGCGTAGCGACCGGCGGCGGCGGCGGCGGCGGCGGCGGCGGCGCCAGCGCCAGCGACGGCGCCAGTGGCGGCGGCGGCAGCGGCGGCGGCAGCGGCAGTGGCGGATATGGAGACGAACGCCTCAAACAGAAATTCTTCCACGTCTCCGGGATCAGAAGCCGATCCAGTCTACTTGCTGGTCATTAAGGGCATCCCACTGTGTACCATCATCGTAATGGCGATTCTTGGTAACTTGCTGGTGGTAGTCAGCGTTTGTCGCTACCGTAAGCTACGCAACATCACCAACTGCTTCGTGGTGAGCCTGGCCATCGCCGACGTGCTTGTTGCCCTGATAGCTATGCCTTTCAACGCCAGCGTGGAGCTATCCGGCCGCTGGATGTTTGGTTATGCCATGTGCGACGTCTGGAACTCACTGGACGTTTACGCCAGCACCGTGTCCATCATCCACCTCTGCTGCATCAGCATCGACCGCTACTACGCCGTGGTCAAGCCGCTCAACTATCCGCTGGTGATCACCGAGCAGCGAGTTATCATCATGCTCACGTTCGTCTGGGTGTTCCCTGTCACGATCTCCTTCGTCCCTATCTTTCTCGGCTGGTATACTACGGCGGAGCACCTGGCATTCCGTGATCAACATCCTCTCGTTTGCAACTTCATCGTGAACCGCGCGTACGCCGTCATCTCGTCCAGCATCTCCTTCTGGATCCCCTCCGCCATCATGTGCGTCATGTACTACTTCGTGTACCAGGAAGCGATACGACAGGCCAAATTTCTCTACAAAAACGCGTCGGCCGCCAGCCGCTCACAGATCGCTATGAACGGCGGTGCCACATCTCCTGCGCGGAAGGGTCCGCTAGACGGCGACGACCGCGCCGGAGAGACCGTCCAGAAGATACGGCACGAGCACAAGGCAGCGCGCACGCTGGGCATCATCATGGGGGTGTTCGTGCTCTGCTGGCTGCCGTTCTTCACCTGGTACATCACGGTGTCGCTCTGCCGCGAGGCCTGCCCCTGCCCGGATGTGGTAGTGGTGGTGCTCTTCTGGATCGGCTACCTCAACTCTTGCCTGAACCCGCTCATCTACGCCTATTTCAACCGTGACTTCCGGGAGGCGTTCCGCCAGACTCTGCAGTGCGTCTTCTGGCCGTGCTGCGGCAGAAGACGGGACGAACGCATCAGCGTGTGATGCGCCATTCGCGGCCCGCTTGTCCGCGGCCGTCGCGGCGGCGCCGCCTGATGAACGGTCGACATGATGCGCCACTCTCGCCTCGCTCGCCCGCGGTCGTCGCGGCGGTGCCGCCCGGCAAACGGCCCGCCCGCCCGCAGTTGTCGCGGCGGCGCCGCCTGGTGAGCGGTCGACATGATGCGCCATTCGCGCCTCGCTCGCCCGCGGTCGTCGCGGCGGCACCGCCCGGCGAACGGTCGACGGCGGTGACGGCCGCTGGTGACCACAGTGCGATGTCGTTGGACTCCCACCGCGGCCGCGCGCAGGGCGAGAGCTGAGCCGCCGCCGCCGCCCGCCAGGTCGGCGCGATTCCAGTCTGAACTCCATAACCGAAGCGAGCGCGACGGCGCAAGGCGCCAGTGAAACTGCGCTCTTCTAACGCTGATCAATGCCGGTGCCGAATGGAGGCGTTTGCCAGGGCATCAGGGCATCGGTGCTGGGGCGAGACTGTGCGGTGCCTGACATCTCGCTCGGACCCTAATCTGCGCTCCATACTGTCAGCTGTGAATGTGATACATGTGCTCAAACTGGCCCCAGGCTTGCATGTCTGCATCCACGCGTCGTTCTAAGCGCCCCGGCGTCTGTGTGCTACTGAGACCGCTTGTATGTACCCCACTCTCCGACGTGTTTTAAGGTGGTAGCCGTGAGAGATAAAGAGGAAGAGGGCGACATGTTAAGGGAATAAGAGAGAACGAAATGCGTGCGTGCGTGCTTGCTTACAGAGAGAGAGGGAGAGAGAGAGAGAGAGAGAGAGAGAGAGAGAGAGAGAGAGAGAGAGAGAGAGAGAGAGAGAGAGAGAGAGAGAGAGAGAGAGAGAGAGAGAGAGAGAGAGAGAGAGAGAGAGAGAGAGAGAGAGAGAGAGAAGAGAGAGAGAGAGAGAGAGAGAGAGAGAGAGAGAGAGAGAGAGAGAGAGAGAGAGAGAGAGAGAGAGAGAGAGAGGTGCGGATTTGGGTGTTCAGATGTTTGCCGTTGTGTACGGCACGCGTTTTAAGGGCAAATATATGTTTTGTTCTATTGCAATGTTCATGCGACAGAAATCGTGTAAAGTGACTAGCTACTCGTTAAATAAACGTGACCAGAATGAGCACTTTTGTCACATTTGCCACGTTGTAGACTGCATGCCAAGATTCCACATATAATCAGTTAAGTGTCGATGGCACTGAAGGGATAGATCCTGGACTATATTGCTTACGACTAACCTTTTTAACGACATTGTTTCCCGAGGCAGATGTGTCTGATCACATTACGTGTAACAACAAAGACAATGCGCAAATTTCATGGGCGCTCAACACGTTTATTCTGTTTCAGTCATTTTGGTTTTGTGTGTTCGGATCATTCCCAACAGTGTCCCCTCAGACTACAGGTTTAAAATACTTTTCACGAGCGAGATTTGCTGTATTTCTCACATTTCAGAACCTAAAATGAAAACGCTGCGATAACACTAGCCGCAACGAAAGCGGTATTTTGACAATTTTCGCCCTCACTCTGCCTGAGCTTTTTTAGCTTCATCCAACAACGAGGGTCTCAGAGACATCTCAAGGTCTTAACAATTACGCGACGTAGAGCCGCGCTGAAAATGGCATTCAAAAATTTGTTTAAAACTGCATAACATAAGAATGCATAAACAATGATGAATGTCGCCTTTCACAGGTTAACCAAAAATTGACCCAGAAGCTCAAATCTGTCCCCAACCGCGTTGACAATTATACATGAAATATTCGAGCCAGTTAGCTCATCATTTAGGTGTCTTGTGGATGTATTGTTTCAACTTTGCTCATTTATATATTGTCACGTTAACACGCGCTCGAGTGGGGGTCAAACTGACCCCCCAAACTTTGGTTCCGGAATGGTTTCCAAACGGCGTGGCGCATCCGTGCCAAATATTGTATAGCTGTAGATAATTGAATAGCGGATTGTCTGGCGTTACACATTTAAATGCACCTTGTAAAGTTACTGACCTATGATAGTTCAAAGTCAAGCCATGGTTTCACCGAATACAATTTCTAGGAAATCGTTCAATTTGATCCAACAATGGAGTGGTAGACGAAGCCATACATCTCTGAGATACTTTCTTAGACAACACAATTGAATAAACAAATAGCATTGACTTAAGGTCAGGTATGAAGGTCAAGCCAATGTCGAAATCGGCCTGCTTTATTACTCTAGGGCCTGCTGTATGGGGTGGTTTCTGGTGCTTATTTCGAATTTACGGATAACGGAAACTGCATTACATACCTTCCATAGCCTTCCTAAAGGTCAGAATAGGTTACTGACCTAGAATGACCCGGGTCACCGTTTTGTTTTCAGGAACATACTGCCGAGCGCAATCTATGTCGCTTATCCAAATGCAAAAATCAAAGCGGTCTTGTATGACTTGGTCACCATGAGCTTGGAAACGTCAAATAAGGTCACTGACCTTAGATGAGCATGTGACCTTTTGCATAGAACACTTATCTAGGTTCCAGGGGCCCTTTAGAGACCAACCTGGAATTTGACCTTGTTTGATCTTATTTAGCCAAAAGGTCATGACCTAGGAACCTGAGACTTTGACCTAAATGAGTTTACGTACAGGTCAAGACACCCTGTAAGTTTGGTGTCTCTGGCTCTCTTATTTCCTGAGATCTCAGAGGGGGTGAAATTGGTCCCCCCACCTGAGCGAAGGTTATGCAATCGGCCGCCCGGGCGCTTAAGTAGTCACCGATTTTTTACATGCAACCTATGCATACACCCCACCTCTCTGCACATGGGTGCTAATTTCCCCGTCTCAAATCAGACAACACGTTTTCGGTGTCCTGGGGTACTCATTTGGGAATGGTTCCAAACTAGAACCTAGTCTCATGCGAAAACACCTTGAACAGGCTTTACATAGACCAGGTTCCATTCTTGTGAAAGTAACCTCAGATAAGGTTTTCCAGGGCTCAGGACATGTATAGCTAATCCCAATAGGAGAATAACAATATCTACCGGCACTGAGATGGGTTACTGGTTTTGCTCTCAAGGGACCAGATCAAGCTTTGCACAAAAAGTCCTTTCGTGGCGTTAAAACAGTCGTCTGATTCCTTATAATGGAAACAAGAACGCCTACTGGTCTCTGAAAACATATACGGTTCTGAATGCCTTGTTGGTGAGATCGTCCACTTGTTTCAACGTCTATCGCCATGCCAAGAATGACCCAAAGTCGAAACTTCCCGTTCTACCCCAAAGCTTGAACATTGGTCTTAGTACCCACGATGCCATTTTTTGCCGGATTGCATCCAGATTACATGCTACGTGTTTCAAAGGGAACTTTTTGCATTCGAAGACACTGAAGTAAGCATCAGATATAATGAGATAAGCTCACTTACAGCCATTGCTATACTTTTAAATGGAAAAGACTGCTATAGACAACAAAATTTCACCAATCTATAAACATGCACACTCAGTATGTCAGTGTCTGATTGCGTCATGGAACGTTTGTATGAAGTCAGAGATGTTGCCAAAGTGGGCTGGGAAAATTTCCATTACAGCAGACATGCCGACTCACTTGTTACATTTCAACGCGCCGAGAGTTGGCTGTGGCGGTGCTGGACGCGTTTGCTCAAACAAATATCGTTAGGTGTTCGTGTTTGTGCCCTTTCTTGTGGTGTTCTTGCATATTTGTCCGTGTGTTTAAGATGCTGACTTGTGCTCACACCCTTGACTATGACACTTCTCTAAGTTTTCTACTTGAAGTAAAATTTTCCTAATTGCTAGTACTATTTTCCCCAGGAGTTATGCGGCGCAAAATGCGATGCGTGTTTGAAACTTGCACTGAGTACATGATATTGATTGAGAGGCAAATGAAGTCCGTAGTATCTGGAAACCATGCTCACGTGCGCCAGACATGAACAACTCCACGGCTATAACTGTGTTGGCCTTGAACGCTGCATGACCAATGGGGTATCAGTATTTGAATGCCGTTCCCATGGAGCTATACATGCCTGAGAGGCCTTGAAATAGTCTGCAGGAAACAGTCTTCCAAATTTTGCTGGCGCACAGCTCGGAAACTAGAAGGTTTCAGGCCTTAAGAAGGGCAAAGGTGCACACCGCGCTGAATCTTCCTCAAAAGTACTCTTTCAGTTAAAATAAACTCATACAAATGTGGACCATGTGCTTAAATGGGGCATGCACTTCATATTTATGTGTTTGCAATGCTGCTGTAAAATGAGCACAACACAGTGTAGCAGTGTGAGCCATGATTGGTCTATTAAAGAAAGAACGTAAGTTTTTACTCAAAACACAGTGATGCATTTGAGTAAATCGAGACTGAGCCCAGTCTAAGCTTAGGGCTTCACTGGCTGCGGCCGTCGAGAGACACCGTCACCGATTTACGAAGCTACGAGCAACCATACGATCGTTGCGAGACTTCGACTGTTCCACACAGGAATAGTCGTACTGCGCTGGCGACACGAATGAAACGCACAGACACAGCCACGCCATGGCGGAGCAACAGACACAGCCACGCCATGGCGGAGCAACAGACAAAGCCACGCCATGGCGGAGCAACAGACACAGCCACGCCATGGCGGAGCAACAGACACAGCCACGCCATGGCGGAGCAACAGCGGTAACTCAGGCACGCGGACGCCTTTGACGCCTCGCCCATCTCTCGTACATCATATGCAACAGAGCGGACCGCTGAGCCGGCTACGGCCGGTAGGACGGCGTCGATGACGTGACAAGTGATCAATAACGATGTGAATTACGGCTGTCTTTCGTCACCACCGCGCAAGTGAAGACTAAATGCCGTACCGATATGTAGGCCCTGTAGTGACAATAGTAGCTAGTGTACCGGACGCCGCTCCTGATAAGGCTATCAAACCCTAGCTTCTGACATCTCCCCCGCCCCCCCCCCCGACCCGTTGGCAGGTAACTGTCGCGCCATCGTCTGTGATGCCTGCCTGCTTGCAATGGTCACTCCGGACTCCCCGCACACCCAGACAGGTGTGCACCATGAACTGCAACTGCTCGTTGACAAGTTTGTTGAGGAATCTGCAGAAAACAAACCACCCGAGAAGTGTACCGCTA